CCGTTTCCTGGCTCCTGTCCTGAAGTAGTGCTGCAATTACTAAAATATTAATAACTCGCATTGTGGGGGAAAATACCACAGTGAAGTCTCTTGTTGTAAATTAAAATTACCAATAAGGCAGAAATAATTACAAAAGGAAAATAAAGCAAAATCATAATTTAAAAATCGTTTAAGAGTAAAGGCAAAGGAAGATATCCTTAGATCTCCTCTTCCCATCAAAATGCTGGGAATTCAGGGGGAATGCAGTCACCCTTGGCTGAGATTCCCATTTTGACCACATACTTGGGATGGATAATAAGGAAGATGAGCTCTGTGACTGCCAAGGTCTCTATTTCAAGAGAAGAGAAGGTAAGGGTAGGATGGACAGGAACACTCAAAATGAAAATGTAGATAAAGGGAAAAGGGATTCCTGTAAAATTGCATTTGATAAACTGATGATTGAGGGAAGAAGGATGCTGAGAAAAATCAAAATAGCCCCAAATGCAAAGAGCCACAGTTCTGTCCTTCTCCCAATCCTTAAATAAAGGACTTAGCATTTTATGTCTTAATTACATGCTCTTCCAACCACATTCCATCATTGCCATTATATCCCTGACATTTCGCACAGTGACTGGAACAGACTTCTGTGTTCAGCTACATTTTCTGAATAAATGGATGAGTAATTGGAAAAGACAGGGGTAAAGAGCAGCAATTGACCCTTAACATTTGGAGAATAGTGAATGTCAATATTTTTGTTCCTTTAATAGTGAAGATAGTACAAAGGATTGGAGACAGAGACATTACAGAAGGAAAAGTAGTGCCCCTAGTTCCACTAGGATGAGAGTCACCCTGTGTGTTAGCTCATAGTAGCATCTCTCTCCATAAACCACGCTCTTCACATACAGACCAGACACAATCATTTGTGATGTTCATTATCATGGGGGGGGTTTTTTGTTTGTTTTTCTTTAGACATGACAAATTCAGTTTATCAATTTGTTCTAAAATTCATTCAGAAATACATAGAGCCTAAAATAGAAAAAAGAATAGAATTATAGGGACAACAGCACCTAATTTCAAGGATGACTATAAATCTACAGTAATCAAAGCAAAAAGATAAATCATTGGAGGAGATTAGAAAGTTTACAAACATATGCATGTTGGTATGGATGGTCAAGAGTTGGGATTATAAGATTCCCCCCCCTCCCCACATTCATGTGAAATGGAGGATATTAAACTTAGGTAGAAATTCCATAAGGAAACTCATGTCATAGAAAGAATATTGAGTATTCCAGTGCCTAGAATGAGAGACACTAAGGTAATGTCAGATTCCTTTTAAATAAAGTCAGCACTCACTCTGTTCCCCTGGAGATTCCACTTTACCTTGAAACAACTTAGTTAGTAAATGTTAGTTAGTAGATTTGTTTTCCCATATAGTTTGAGCTGTTGTTTTACATTGTTTCATTGTCTCTCTTTACATTGTCTTGTTGGTTAGATGATACTTTGATTTTATGAATAAGGAAGCCAAGGCTCAGACACTGTGATTTGCCCAAAGGTCATCCTCTAACTCCTGTCCAGATGTCATATTGTTGTCATTTTCTGTGTTCTGTTGTGGTTCTTCTTTGCAAACTTCTTTGGGATCTCTCAAAATCTAATTTGCACTCCCAGGTGTTGAAACTATGACTTTCCTTGCAGAACAATTTATGCCATAGCATTTTCTCTGGAGTATAATGTAGTAAGCGTCCAAAATATCTTTGGTTCTCATCATACCAGTCATAGGACTAATTTAGCTGTTTTCATCTTAAGACAAAAGTTAGTATCACTTAAAAACATTATTCCTAATTAGCAGACCTGTTTACTCTTTAATTTGTAATTATAGTACAAGGTAGACAAATAGCAAAAAGATTCTGAAGCATTGAACACTGATTGTCGTGTTCTTAAATGGCTTTTTCTAAGATAGAGGATGTTGTTTTTTTTAAATA